GATTTTTTAAATATAAAAAATTGAAAAGAAAAATAAAATTGATTATAACTAGAACTAAATCAAATATACTATATAATTTATGTGTTGAATGAAAGAACTCCTTGGTGGACTTGTGGTCCCAATTCTCTGGCTCTCCACGTGCTATAGATAATAGAATACACATAATGTTGTTTGTTGTTATGGTTGTTGGTGGTAAGTTATTTGTTGTTGTTGTTATGATCGTTGTTATGGTACAAAACCGGTTTGAGCTTGTTTGATTTTTTTTTTGATCATTATATGAAATCTGATTGAATAATTGAAGAGTGCTGATTATCTGGAGGAGTAAACTGATTTTGGTTTTTTGAGTAAGAAATTTTTGGTGGATAAAAGTGGTGCAGCAAATATTGCTACGAGAATATTGTGTATAAGAGTTGACTTGAAACAAACAGTAGACCTACTAACTCTATTTGAGTATGTGTTTTGAAAAGTATTTGGTTTAGCAAGTATGATGGTAATGATGTGGATGATTTTTATAATAGAATAAGAGTAAGGAGGGATGCAAGAAAACTGAAGAAAAGAGAACTGCCACAAACCTTTCCTCATGTAACCGAAGGATAAGCAAGACTCCCAAACTTGAATGGACTTCAATCAGAGGTCCCATCCCACTGTACCAGTTGTTTTGAAGATTCTTAAGTTCTTGAGCTGAGGCTTATTTGCAATAAAGAGAATAAAATATTTTTTCTTGCTTAAAATTACCATAAAAAGAAAATTTTTAACAAAATGGATGTGATCAGAAGAGAGTTTTTTTTTATTTTATGTTCAAATTCTATAGAGTAGAAAGTAATTTTAATATGATTTTATATTGATTTTGCTTTTAATACAAAAGATTTAAAAAGAATAACATAATAATTTAAATTAATTTTTTTTAAAAAATTTTTTAATAAAACTTAAAATAGTTTTAATAAAAATTATTCTTTATATTTAATAATTTTTAAATATAGTTTTTTTTAAAAAATTATTTAATAAATAAATTTATTAATTTTAATAAAAAAAACCAAGTGCCAGTTTTTTTGTTCCAAACTGTATATTCAAACTTTTATCATAGATAAAGGATATTCTTGGAAGTATAATCTATTAAAAATTTCAATTTTTATTAAAACCTTTCAAAACATGATTTTGCTGTGTATCAATCCATATCTAAAGCAAGTTTTAAATTTTTTTATTTAGTTAACTTATTAAAAAATATAATACAATTTAATTTTATTTTAATTTAATATTATATATATATATTTTTTGAGGGGGTTTTCTCTCTTTAATATTATATATAACATGGTATATATCGTGAAAGAAACAACATCTCTTATATATATAAGTAGCAAGTTAAATGTTAACTTGCCTATGTGAACACATCTAACTAATATTGAAAAAAAAATTCAAAACAATATTATATACTAGCAGTGTCTGAATAGCAGCTATGCCTATCTATTCAAAAAATTTTATGAAGTTTTTTTGTAAATTTGTAGGTAAAGTAATTGAAAAAGAGAAAAAAATAAGCATAACTAAAACTAAAACTAAGTAAAGTAAACTATAAAATCTATAAGTAGAAAACTAATTATTTCTTTAAGAAAACTCGCAAACAGGCTTGTTGTCCCATCTCTCTAGCTTTTTGGTTACTATAAATAGTAGAGTATATGTGATGTTATTTGTTGTTATAGTTGTCAATAAAAATGTGATTGAAGTTATTGTTGTGATTGTTGTTATTATAATATAAAACTGATTTAAGCAGGTTTGGTTTTTGTTTTGATTTTTAGACAAAATTTGATTGGATGATTGGAGAGCACTGATTATCTGGAGAGGTAAACTGATTTTGATTTTTTGAACAAAAATTTTTGAAGATTTTAAAGTAATGCAATAAGTATTGCCATGATAGAGTTGTATATAAAGATTATATTAAAACAAACAGTAGATTCAATAACTCTGTTTGAGTATATGTTTTGGAGAGTATTTGGTTTAGCGAGTATGATGATAATAATGTAAATGATTTTTATGATAAAATAAGAGTAAGGAGATGTGCAAGAGAACAAAAGAATAGAGAACAGCCATAGGCTTTTTCTTTTATAACCAAAGGATAAACAAGACTCCTAAACTTGAATAGACTTTGACCAAAGGTTCCATTCCACAGCATTAGTTGTCTTGAAGATTTTTGAGTTTCTGAGTTAAGGCTCACTTGTGATTAGAGCTCCTAACAATACTACTTTGATATCAGTTCGATACTTAAATTTACTATAAAAACATATAAGTAGGTTACAATCCATATATTAAATTTATTATAAATCAATACCATTTTGATATTAGTTCAATACTAGTTTAGTACTTTTCAAAGTCCTACTTGTAATAAAAAAAGTAAAATATTTTTTCTTGTTTAAAATTATTATAAAAGAAATTTTTTTAACAAAATGGATATGATTAGAAGAGATTTTTTTTTTATTTAATATTTTAAATAATATAAATATCAAATTATCAAATATTAAAATTTATTTGCTTAAATATAAATATATAATTTTTATTTATAATATTTTTAACAGATTCATTTCATTTAAATATAAGATTTTAATTAATAAAATTCTTATAAATATTTAATTATTATTTTTAAATTAAAAATATAATATATAAAATTTGACAATATATATATATATATCAAAAATTAAAATATAAAAATATAAAAAAATTCAACAAAATAATAAGAATTTCAATTTTACTTGACAAAATAACAAAATTAAAATTAAAAAAAAATATGATTAAATTATATGTTAAATTATTTATATCAATCTATAATTAAAAGTTAATATTATATAATTTTAATTAAATTATTTATTTTAGTTAAATAATTAACAATTAACATATATTAAATAAATCAATTTCAATTAGTATATTAAATAGTAATTTCATTATATGTATAATAACAATTATATATGTAGTAAAATTGAATTTCAATATTCTTCAAAAACCATATTATAATAAAATTATCAAATAATATATAGTAAGATAAATAATTGAAGATTATATTTAATTCAAACTTATATTGTCAATTAAAATTTTTTTTATAATAATATAGAAACATATATAATAATATAACAACAATATTATCAACATGTTTTCTTAATACATTTTAATTGAAATTATCAACATCATTTTTTTTTTTTAAACAGTAAATTCACATTTTGCTCTTTTAGATATCATTCTAATAAAAAGGAAATAAACAATATACCGTATTTCAATAATTTATTAATATTCCAAAGGCAAAATCATTACTATCAATCTATCAAATTTCTTTATCATTTCATATCTACCTGGATTTATTTACAAAATAACAAATTTACATGATCAAATATATCAAATAACAAATAGATAACCTATTTTTTAAAATAATAATAAGTAGCTACATATAAAGAAGCATTTGAATATGAAATTATCCACAAGGATTTCTATTTATATGCCCACTTCACCTCACGTTTTGCGAACCATCTATATAATTGTATACTGTATATAGAATATATTCTAGATAACAAAGAAACTTTACAAACTTTATTTTCAGTTCCATGTTATATTAGGTATGGTTACGGTTTTTATCGATTGCCCTTAACGATATACTGTATAATTAAAAATCAATTATACCTGATTGAGGGTTAAAAAAGAACATATTATTACAAATTAGAATATATATTGAAATTTTGGAATGTACTTTAAATACTTTTTTCTTAATTCAATATGCTGTATATATTATATTTCTAAATGAGATATTGAAGTAATCATTTAAATACTGTATAAACGGCCGTAGACTATATAAATATTGACTAAATATGGAGTATCTCAATATAAGCTTCACACATACTAACTTTATCGCAATGAACATATAAGGCGTTCGAATGACATGGAAAGAATTGTAGTTGAAAAAAGGACAAAGCAAGACATTCTAACATTATTAAAATCAGCCGAGGCGGATCCTGCAGAAGGAAACATGTATTATTGGCTACTGTTATCAAAATGGAATTAGAATGGGACACGAAGAATTCAAATATTAGCCGAGATGGAGATGAACATAAGGCGTTCGAATGTTAGTAAAAATCAGCCGAGACAGGTCATGCAAAAGGCGCATATAATGTTGGCTATTGCGACGGAATTTGCGTTGAATGCAAACCTTCGGATATTGCCAAAATCAGCCGAGATGGAAGAATCAAATGACGCACAATGTAGATTATTTTTATTACAAGTCACGTGAAATATAAAATGATTAATCAAAAGTGATAATAAAATATTCAAAAATCAGCTGAGATGAATGATTCGAATGGAACTAAGGAATTGGCGATTCAGATGAAACATTTGATGTTAGTTATTGTTGCCTCATTGAAATTAGGGTTGACGGAAGGCATTCGAAAATTAGACGAGATGGATTTTATCGAAACGTGATTGGTGTTGCAAGAAGCTTACAAATTGAATAATTACCATGGTCACCGTAAAATAACAGTATGCGAACAATTATAATAAGATACCATTTTCCGAAAACAAGTATTGATTTCTTATAAGGGATTTATTTAGGCAAAGGTGCCTAATGGAACGCCGGAAGTCCGTACTTAAATTATTTCACTACTTCTCACAGCAAACATTTATTCATCAAAAAAGCATATCGGGATATTTGTCATCCTCTATCATTAGAATGCTACGGGATTTCCATGTATCTAATCTAAGACTTCATTCTTGTTATTGGACTGCTTGCTGGTGGATTCCTTGCGTAATAACCTTTATTTGATAGCACAAATTGAATAAGACTTTTAATTGTACTGCTTTTCGACCTTCAATAATTTATTCACGAAATCTTATTCGTCGAGTTTGCCATAAATAATGATTATATAACTTATATAGTGCATATATTGCCCTTAACGTATATAGTATGTGAAGTTTTTTATACATTTTTAATTTCGGACATTTTTTTCATTAGGTATAATGAAGGGGTGGAAATTTCTTCGGGAATAGTTGTTCTCATTGACCACAAGTTACTGTATATTGGAGGAGCAAAAATTTTGACAGAATTGAAATATTTGCAAATATAGAATATGCACGTGTGCAAAATATAAACCAAGACGCCTTATGTCATATTATTACTTGTGGATACAGTAATATCAGACTCTCCATATAATTCATTGTTACTTAAATATATGTGACAATGTTACAGGGTGTAAACAAAAAAATGACAAATGGGTTTTTAAATGCTTATTTACAAAAAAAATGAATTAATAAATTAATATACTGTATATATACAGTATATTAAAATACACATTTTACTTGGGATTATTGTGACTTTATTAATCATTTCAATATTTTAATTTGATGTTTCTAAACAAAAAGAATTTATTAAAATGGATATAAAAATCTTGAATTTTTTGAATTTCTTTTTTTTTTTATATACAGTATATGTAATAGTGTACGTATGCAAATATTATATGTGGATTAGAACCAGTAATTAATTTCAGCATATTATTAATTATATACAAAAAGATGTGTTTTAAATTAGGTCGAATTAGATTAATGTTATTTTTTTTATACCATTAAAATATGTACAAAAAACGAAAATGATTTCAACTACTTGATTTCACGCGAATTAACCATAATTTGGTAATTTGATAGTGAAATTTATTCACATAGAAATCAATTAAAAATTTTACATAGAAATCAATTGAAAAAAATTCAATTTATGATATGTCCAGTGTTATCTTTAAGTGAATTAATCGATCAATCGATTGTTATTTGCTTTTTTAATAATCAATATGTAACAATTTTTTAAAAATCGCGAATTTCAAGAGCAAGCTACGATACAGTGGAAATAAAGAAAGATGCATATTGTTATATGTAATCAAGGTACAAGGCAGAAGATCTATAACAGTTCGCCGTTTACTTAAAGTGTGAAACATGATTTTTTTAATTTATCTTATTTTTCTCGAGGAAAACAAAAATTGGGTGGGTAAACAACATTATCTATTGCAATGACGTCAAATCAGGCAATATTTGATCCATTTATTATTGCTTTGCAGTTTTTCTCATTCTTCTTTCGAATGGCAAAGATCATCACATGCGTCGGCAGCAATTGAAAAGTTGGAATGGTCACGTATCCCTTAATATTATAATTGGGCCAAGTAGATTCACACAAAATTCTGTGCATGCCCGTAATTTTGAACACAACTTTTGTCCAAGAAACCTTGAATGAACAATACACTTTTGGTTTTTCTAAAATGAGAATATCCCCTCTGTACTCGGAACATTATTCTCCATGCATACGTACAACATTAACCTTCGAGAGTACATGGGTTGAACGAAGACAGGTTTTCATCCGGTTTGACTTACCTGGAAACCGTCGGCCAATCACACCTCGCCCAAATACGTGCTGTCAAATTTCAAAAAATCAATTGCATGTTTTATAACGCACGTGACTCATGTCAATCATGGGTATTAATAGTCTCAGAGGCCAGTCGTGAGAAGTTTTGAAGTTTGTGCGGGCACGAACTAAAAATTTATCCAAGTTGAAATTGAAACAAGGCGGGCACGTGCAGTATAATTTGTGTTGGCGTTTGTTTTTGACATTGAATATTTTACTAAAACTGTCTAAACGAGATTCACCTATATAAAGTCAAATCTCGACTTGAAACAAGAATTTCCTCTAAACAAAGGTAAACGCGATTCAGGTGATGTGCGATTTCAATGACACGATCGCGTTCGTCTTTTGTGTGATACCAAGCAAGAAATGACAAGATGACACCAAAGGTTCCTCTCACGCATTTGATTTTTGCGTTCCAAGTACTAACCCGTTTTTCTCGTGTTTTTTTCGGTGTTACATAGAAACATTCTAAATGCGGAAGCGGAGAGCGGGTTGTGCAGAATGAGTAAAGGACGAGCATTCCATAACAAGAGATCAATTGAACACTCTCGAGGAACACTCGCGTGTGTAAACAAGTTAAATGCGTACGCATCAATTACACACTGTATACACCACTGTATATACTGTACTGTATGTACAGTAATACAATGAATGCCCTTAGGTTATTATCTCGGATTTACTATGTGATCTCTGGTTTGCTGTTGCATGCCAATGTGAGATCCAAATGTTACAATAAATAAATCACTACATCTACATTTGTCACCCTTGTGCGTTACGTGAACGGTTTTAGTATCTCTGGTGATTTATCATCACGACACACGACAATGCAGATATTCCAGAAAATCATCAATTGACAAAAGATTAAGATTGATGTTTAATGGCCCAAGACGAACGAGATGTAGTCATCTATTACTTCAACATTCAAGACACAGCACAGTACAGACAATATATAGTATTATAAAATATTAAAAGAAAGAGAGAAGGTTTATTCAACCATTACTTGATTTATTTACGTATGATTATTAGTGATGATCGGGACAGACATGGAATGTTAGTTAACTTTGACAAAGGCTTCGGTTGTACATTTTATTGTTCATACATATTATTAATATGTTTATGTTAGCGTATGTGCATTTCCTTTCATAAATGTTTTTTTGAAGGCGGCAGGTGTGATCAACAATCATTGCTGTGAAGTAATGTAGTAGTAATTAATGTTTTACCCGGTTATGTCAAATATCAAAAATTAAATTAAAAAAAATGGGGCACAGACGTGAGTGGTTTTTAATCGGGAGATGTTGTTTCATGAAGACGCATGAACCCTTTCCAAGGAATTTCCGTTCCCGAAACCAGTTGAAATAACGTGTAAATCAAATTCAATGTTACAATTAATTTCAGAATCGTGAAAACAAAATTTTGCATGAACAGATTTATTTTATTTTATTTTATTTTATTTTATTTTATTTATTTTATTTTATTTTATTTATTTATTTATTTTCTTTTTTGCTTTTTAATAATAATTCTGTCGTCGCTGTCCGAAACGTGAATGCATGTCCGATTTTTCCGCCCGAGAACTAACTTTTACACGCACGCGTGTCGTTATATCACATGGCACCTCGCACAAGCAAAGGTCACGGGTTCGAGAGACCCGCGTAATGTAACCTCGTATTACATACAGTACAGTATTTATCCTACCGGAAAAAAATATCAAATTCGCCATATTAGGTTGAATGAAAAAAAAAAAAAAAAAAAAAGCAGGGCGGGCGGTACTTGTGTGCCTGCATGTAAACTCACGATACACCGATTAATACTGTAAATACATGCGAACAATAGCATGATTTGAATAAAGTTAATGGCGATTCTTGATAATCGATCAAAGATTTAAAATGCCCTCAACCAATTTTGATTGGTTACAAGGACGTTAGATATACATAAGCTTTTGTCCCACGAAATCAATTTCCCCGCACTCTGAAGATCGACGTGCCAAAATCCTTAAAGGTCACACAGGTTGCGCGTGTCATGTAGAATAATCAGATATGGGATTCGGTGGCGTTACTTTTCCTTCGATGACAAAGAAAATCCACAAATGCACTCTGTACGGTGAAATGACGATGTGATCGACGGTTTGTTTTTAATGAATTAAAAATTATCGTCGGATTAACAATTTCAAAAATTGGTGTTATGGCTGCCACGATAACTATGACATTATCATAAGTCATCTCGCACCGTACATTAATAATTGGTTTTTTCTCGACCGAATATTATTACACTTCATAGCGCAGCGGGACGACAAATGAGTTTTCAATTTCAATTTCTTCTTCTTCTTCTTGACATACGTAGGTGTCTCGCTCGCGATGAAATATCGATGCATAGGTGATGTGCCTCATGTCTTTTTGGTGCACATCGTGTGCATCTGGTGTGACGCCGTTTCTAGTTTATCTAGTTGATTCGGGAGGACGGTCCATGCAAATTTTCAATTGTGAAGGGAATGCCTAACCGAGATGAGATGATAAGAGTTTCCAAATGGATTTTTTTCTTTTGCGTTTAATAAATAAATTAAAAATTCATGGTTACCTCTTCCGTAATTTTTCGTGATCTGCCGTTTTGTGAAACAGGCGCATTCTCGCAACACTCCGAGTACGCACCGACATTCATTTTTCGTTCAAGCATAATGTTGTCACATAATATCATTCTTTCTCGCACGTTAATATTCTTTTCCTCGCACGTTGATTGACTCGATTTGTCATCCAAAAAAATTTACTGGAGATCAAACACCCCCCCCCCCCTTCCAAACAGATGTCTGAACACTCGCGTGCGATTCATATTTGGAAAGTGACTATTGGACCCCAGAGGTCGTTTCGGCTGTGCTCGTAAAATCAACTTTCGTTTTGCCATATTTCGTTAGGTGAAGGTGACGTGATAGATCGAAAATCCCGAGTTTATTCTTTATTTGTATATCGGTCTGGGTTGATTATGTAAGAAGAGAAACCTTTTTCCATCACCCTCGTAATGCTTGCATGATATTGTTCCCCAGAATCTTCCATCTACTTACTTGTTTGTTCTGTCGAACTCACATACCTCATCAGCCGACCCTCGAATTTCAAATTCTCCCTAATAGGAAATACTCAATTTGGAAATGGGCAAATCACATCTCACAAATGCACAAATGAGGGGATAGATGATATTGTTGAGAAGGGTGATACAAGTTTGTCACTTCAAAAAAAAAAAAAAGAATGGGTTAAGCACGCTTCGAAAATTGACACGCCTATCGTTTATTTTAGAAATCCCTGAACTGTTTCTTCCCCATCAAGGAAATTGACCCACTTCGTATATATCCATGGATTAAGTTTTTGACCGACATATTCTTGAAATTCGGCCCTTCTCTTTCACCCACCAATCGCGTTGACCCGATCGATTCCTCTCCAGGTTTCAAGGGTGAATCCTGATTCCAAAAAATGGTTAGTCCCGGCGACCGTATGTTACCACGACAATTTCACACACTAACCGGTGTTGCATGTTGAAATGATTAAAGGATTTCCTTCTTATGCGAATGTTTGCAATTTTTGAAAAATTAAAAATACATGCATCAAATCTTATTATGTTACCATAACTGTGCGCACCTTGTATAACATATTCATGTGAGACATATTTCAAATATTTGGCCCATTTTTCGAGAATGGTCGT